AGAGTCCACCATCAATCAGTACGTACATTAATTACAACATCCAGTGTTTCAATGTCCACAGGCAGGTGATGCCCACTGCATACTGTCTCACTGATGCCGCTCCATGTGGTTCCTAAGGCGTCCTTCCATGAAGAAGCCTTTTCCGCAAACTTTGCATAAATGAGGCCAGTCCCTGTGATATTTTGACACATGTTTATCATGCCTCATTTGTGTGGGAAATTTCTTCTCACACTTCTCACACTGGATCATAAGCTTACTGCACTTCTTTTTGTGCACTTTAAGCTGTCCGTAAGAACGAAACTTTGCAGGACAGCGGTCACATTTGAAAGGTTTCTCTCCTGTGTGGATGCGAAAGTGTTCAGTCAACAGGTATTTATGTTTTATGACCTTCTGACACAATAAACACATGTAGCCGCCAGAGCACCGCTTGCCCATTGTTTGCCATTTCTGACCCAGCTTTCTGTCTGGATTGCGTTCTTTCTGAACTTTGTTATGGTTTATTGCTTGAGTTGTGTCTTTGCTGGGAGAAATCAAATCTTCTCGATTATCTTCAATCGCCTCTAAAGGTTTGGTCCATGCAAAGTCTCCATTGGTCTCACTGGAATTCACTTGGTCCTTGTGTATTCGCAAGATGTGCAGTTTGAGTGACTGGTTAATGCGGAATTTCTTTGGGCACATGCTGCAAGGAAATGGCTTTTCGCCAGTGTGAATACGCATGTGGTCCCCAAGCCTGCAACGTGAATGAAACTTCTTGTTACAGAAGTTACAGGGGAACTTTTTCACACATCCAGGTTTCTGAATAGATGATTCATTGTTGTTGCTGGAGGAAGGTGTGCTTTCCTTCTTGATGATGATCTTGAGCTCTTTTTTGCTTGGGGTGGCTGGCTTTTCTTCATCACAGGACTGAGGTTTTGGAGGGTCAGTGGACTCTGCTTTTTTTTCTAACAGTTTCTTAAGTTTTGCACAAAATGGTTTATGGCATCGAAGAACACTTGGAAAAGGGAACTCTTTTTTGCAACCTCTGCACTTCTTGTGTGATCGTACATGCACGCTTCGGCCAAACTGTGTATCAAATACCTTATGACAGAACCTGCAGGAGTACCGTTTTTCACCGAGGTTTTCCACCGCCTCTTGTTCTGTAGACTTCAACTCAGTTGTTTCAGTTTTTCTTTCCTCTCTTTTGCTCTTCAGTGGGTTTTTTTGCACTTTCCCTGTCAAATTTCTCCCTCCTCTTTTAAGACCTGTATGTTCGTTTGTTGGGTCAGTACATTCATGTTTGACGCCTTGGAGCAATATTTTCATGTCGTTTCTTACTGGTGGCCGTCGAGTCCCTTGATCACACAATGGTGAACCTTTGTTGTGGGTGTGTCTGTGGCTCTCCTTCAATGAGTAACCTGTCAAAGAAAAACATTGAAAAAAAAATGTAACAGTGCCCCAGTGAAAAAGGAGTGGTGACAGCCTATTATGTGACAAACTAATGTACTTGGACCGAGCACCAAGACAAGTGCTTGGAAGGAATGTCCCGTTGTCTTAGGGACAATGAAAATAGCACCTGGTTCACAAAGTGTCTGAAACAATTCTGGGACGGTAGAAAAGTGTATCTTTACAAATGAAACTACTACATTCATGCACCATGGAATCTATATCATTTTAATTGTTAGCTTTTCAAATTCAAAAAATGTGAGGCCACTCCTGCACAAGCTCCAGACAAGCGCTTACACACACAGTCATAGAGAGAGACCAGTGTTACAACTTGGTGACTTTGTTGCTAGATTTAGTGACCTTTCAGACCGTCATGTCTTTTTCAGATCATCATGGAAAAGGCAAGAAATATATTTAAATATATTATGTTGTCTTTAACTCTCAAGCATGCTGTTCAGAGTGCACAGCTCAGCACTGGGGTCTCTCCCTCTCCAGTGTTTCCCCTTAAAATGTCATTTATTAAGATCAATGACCATTAAACCATGCAAATACGATAATAATCCTAATCCTGAATAATCGATTCTGAGGTCATTTTCTGAGGGTTTTCTTCCAAGGATTATGGTGTTCCTATAGTTTAGTCTATATATGTAAATAGTTTGTTTGAGCTTGTAAATATTTTACTTGATTGTTTGATTTTGGATATACATTTAACTTTCTTTTACTACAAATATAAATTGAATAATGTCTCTGTAGCAAGTTTATTATTTTACTGAATTATAATAATGTTCCAAGTGTGCGTATGTACGTTTCCAATGGCGTACACCAATCAGAAACTGTAGTTTGCAGCGATGCATTTAATCAAATTTTGATCAAACTATTTGAAATAAACAGTAACTCAACCAATGACTAAAAGAATGATGAAAGCTGATTCTAGCTCACCCAGGGTGATTAATCTCAGATGGATCTCTTAAAACTTGGGCAGCTAAAACCAAATCTATGGACAGACAATTACTATACGAATGTTTGACACCTTGTGTGTAATTTTGGTGAACCAACTCATTGGATTGTATATTCCCGTACAGGTCGTATTTACAAAAGTAAGCCTCATAAATTAGCTATCTGTGAATGCAAATGTGCAAATGAGTGAATGTAAACAGGGATGTGAGAAAGTATTTCCAATCCTCATTCTGACAACAATACATGTAATTTACAGGACAAAATAATGAACGAAAGAATCAATTAAGAATGAAACTTGCCTCTCTTGGATCTCCTGCCACCCCGTGTTGGCTGGTGGGAGTCAATGTCAGAATTCACCTCCTAAAATACAGATGGTATTGGTTATGATTAACAATCCAAAGTAACGCAGCAGGTACATGCAGAGCTGTGTCTGCAAAAGACTATTAACAGTTATTGAAATGACAGGGTGTATACATGTATCAGCAAGTTAAAAAAAAACTTTGTAGGACTTTTTAATGTCATAATCACTAAATTGAAGCAGTGGAGAAAGGGTGTCTGATCCTGAGGCGGTGGTGTTGATGTTTAGTATTATTAGTAGTATAGTAAAAACAAGCGTTTTTAGCTTGCCTTTTTTCAAATGACATGAATTATTAGGTTGTCATCAGTCTGCTTGTTAGGTTTATGATGCCAAATTGTAATGCCACCAAATTATATGTTTCCCCTTCAGTTACACACCTCCTGCTTGATGACTGGAACATGCCACAGAGGAATGTATAGTGAGCGCAGTCTTACACTGGGGCACACGTTGTCCTCTGGTTTGGTCACAGTCTCACAGCCGAGCGGAGCACACCAGTCATCAGGTACTGCACAAACCCATACACAAAAACACAGACATGATTACGCTGCATATATAAGCCACATGTTGTGATTCATTCTACTGCAATGTTGGAGTTACAAATTTAAGTGTAAACCATTACAAAAGGTTTCCTCTTTGCTACGTTCACATTAACTTGTGACTGATACTGGTTACTGTACTTTGACCAATATTTAATTGGAAATTTTCTTGAACCTTCAGGATTATACATCCCCTTTTACAGCACACATGCAAATATATCAACCGGTTATAACATTTTAACATATCTGTTAACCTAATATTTACATCCATAATGACTCAGTGTTGTAAAGCAATAAAACATGCAGGCAGGTGAGTACTAAAATGGTTTTGAACAGACTGTAAAGTCAGGTTACAAACAGAGTTTCTCTTTATACTGGTCACTCTCTAAAAATGCTTACTATAATATACTTACTATAAAATTATTTCACAATAAAGCAGCATGTTTTGCAGTTATTCACCTCATTTAAACACCATACCTTCAAAATCAATCTCAGGAACCTCAGAAGTTTGTCCAGAGGTGTTCAAGACATCTTCAGGCTCTTTCTGTGATTCACTCATCTGAGTTTTATTCATCTTGGCTCCTCTGTCACCTCCACCCTCACTTCCTCTTCGCTTGGTCTCCGCTCTCTGTAACTTTATTTTAAGTTGAGTAATCTCTTCTCCTTTCTGCAACAGCTCAATTTGATGTTCATGTAGGCTGTTCTCAAAGATCTTCATTATTTCAAACAAAGACATCCTCAGGACTGAGTCCATGGCTGTCGTCAGCTGGGTCTGGAATTCTCTCATCAGACGGTCGGACATCTTTGAAGATTACAGATGTCTTTGATCAGAAAGATCGTGAGATGATTCTTTTACTTATTCCCTGTACGGAGAGATGAGAGATCAGGTTAGGGTCAGCTACAAAACAGCACCAACCTGCTAGTATTCTCCAAAGAGGGCAAGTTTAGAGTGTATGTTTGCTGAAACAGGACTATAGACCCCAGTTAAACCTAAATGCCTCAAAGAATTTAAGTATGCAGCACCAGAGTAGATGTGGTATTGTTTTAAGCATATGACTGTGGACCATATGATGTCAATTTAAGGAGAAACCAGCAGGCGCACACAGTGGGTAATTCATCAGTCTCAACACATACCATTAGACTGGATATGGTAAACAAGTCCATGTCAGCAACAGGGGCAATCTTACCAGGCGATGTTGGTTCACTGGTTAGGAAAGCAACCCAGATGAGTAACCTATCCTTCTTTCTGTATCACTCATCTTTATGAGCACTGCCATTAGCTAACGACAGCCACGTTAATGACAACACAACAATAGACCAGAAATTCGGTCCCACAGAGGGCTTTCTTTTAAACATCTGAGGCGTTGTAGTGATTAACACAACACACGTAATTTAGCTATAAGCTGAGCGTTTAATATCTATGTACACATGGCGGACAGCAGTGTCTAGCAGTCTATCAAATACTGACCGTGCGGCACAAGAAGCCCCGTAGTTTGCTTAAGATGAGTAACAGTCAGCTACTTCGTCTGGAACACTTTACGAACAGTAAACCGGCTCGTCCACATCTCACATCTACATATTAAATCAGCTTCATTTGTTTCTTGTTAGCCAACGACAACACCAAAAGGATGTGTCCGCCATTTTTACTCAACTTCCCCGGGAGGGAGAGCACAGGTGACGCCAATACTAACTTACGTCATATTTCGCCGTACCAAAAGAAGAAACGTCATCCCGAAAATATTTGTTGTATCGCTCAATATTAAAAAAAAAAAAAAAA